TTGAATCACCAGAAAGCCGAATTAGCATTCAATCAACAAGAACGAATTTGGAAAGCTGGTATAGTTCTTTCTTGCCAAAAACCATAGCAACTACTGGCTCAAATGAAGATCAACCGCGGTTGATATATTCGTATCACAATGTGATGAAAGGTTTTGCAGCTAGATTATCTGTAGAACAAGTGAAAGAAATGGAGAAGAAACCAGGCTTTATATCTGCACGGCCGCAGAGGATATTGTTTTTACACACAACACATAGTCCAAGTTTTCTTGGATTGCAACAAAACATGGGCTTGTGGAAGGATTCTAACTATGGTAAAGGTGTGATCATTGGAGTTTTGGACACTGGGATTTACCCTGACCATCCATCATTTAGCGATAAAGGAATGCCTCCTCCTCCTGCTAAATGGAAGGGCAAATGTGAATCGAATTTCACTACAAAGTGTAACAACAAGCTCATTGGTGCGAGGACTTTTGCACAAGCTAGTGAATCGCCGCTTGATGATAATGGACATGGTACACATACGGCTAGTACTATTGCTGGACGTTTTGTGGATGGTGCTAATGTGAATGGTAATGCTAATGGCACTGCAGTTGGGATTGCTCCACTTGCTCACCTCGCCATTTATAAGGTTTGCGATTCTTTTGGTTGCTCTGATAGTGACATTCTAGCTGCAATGGACGCGGCTATTGATGATGGTGTTGATATCCTGTCGCTTTCCCTTGGGGGAAGTAGTAAGGCATTCTATAATGATCCAATTGCACTTGGCGCGTATAGTGCAACACAAAGAGGTATTCTTGTAAGTTGCTCAGCCAGTAATAATGGTCCGTATGATAGCACATTATCAAATGAAGCTCCCTGGATTATGACAGTAGGCGCAAGCACTATTGACAGAAAACTTAAAGCCACTGTTAAGCTTGGAAACAGAAAAGAATTCGAGGGCGAATCAGCTTTTCATCCAAAGGGTCACAATTCAGCATTTTTCCCTTTGTTTGATCCTGCATTGAATGCAACTGATTTTGACAGCCCTTATTGCGGAACAGGTACATTGAATGACCCTGATATTAAAGGCAAAATAGTTTTGTGCATGGCGGGTGGTGGTTATAGCAGGATTGAAAAAGGACAAGCTGTAAAGGATGCGGGAGGTGTTGGCATGATTATCTTTAGTTCACCTGATGATGGTTTTACCAAGTTCGCCGATGCTCATGTCCTTCCGGCTTTGTATATTACTTACAAAGATGGAATAGAAATTCTTGACTATATGAACGCAACATCAAAACCTATTGCAAGACTTGCATTTCAAGGAACAATAATCGGAGATAAAGATGCACCAGTGGTTGCTGCATTTTCTTCTCGCGGACCAAGCTTAGCTAGTCCTGGAATCTTGAAGCCTGATATTATTGGCCCTGGTGTTAACATTCTCGCGGCTTGGCCTCCCTCTCCTGAGAACAAACCAAACATAAAACCTAACTTCTTTCTTGCATCTGGCACATCTATGTCTTGTCCTCACCTCAGTGGAGTTGCAGCATTGCTGAAAAGCGCGCATCCCACTTGGTCCCCTGCAGTTATTAAATCAGCAATCATGACAACGGCTAATACAGTAAACCTCGCCAACGATCCCATCTTAGATGAAAGGCTACTACCAGCTAACATCTTCGCCGTTGGTGCAGGACATGTCAATCCATCAAGAGCTAATGATCCAGGGCTAGTTTACGATACACAATTTAAGGACTACTTGCCTTATTTGTGTGGTTTGAATTACACAAATCGACAGGTGGGAAATCTTCTACAACGTAAGGTGGATTGTAAACAAGTGAAAAGTATTCCTGAAGCACAACTAAATTATCCTTCATTCTCCATCACACTCGGGGCAAATTCTCAGACATATACGAGAACAGTGACTAACGTTGGGGTCGCTAAATCATCTTACAATGTGGAAATAGGTTCACCACCTGGAGTTTCAGTGATTGTTAAGCCCTCTACTCTAAACTTCTCGAAGTTGAACCAGAAGTTGAAATACCAAGTAACCTTTTCTATAAGAACAAATAGCTCAAACAGTGGTGTTGTTCAAGGATTCTTGAAATGGACTTGTAATAAGCATTCTGCAAGAAGTCCAATTGCAGTTGTGCTAGACACTACAATTGGTTTCTAGTTTATTTTTCGATCTCTTTTTAGTAATTGGAACAATGTATAACAAGTCTATATTAGTGGTTTCAATAAAAACTCTAGAATAAGTGCCAAAAGTATTCACATTCAATTTGGCCACACAGATTCAGTTGTTCTGTGAAATTATAATCCCACCTTCTATATCTGGTAGGTAATACCAAGAATTTGGCATAAAATTTATACCGATATTAGCTAACACCTATGATCAAACGGCGGATCCAAATTTAATACTGAAATTAGTATCCTAATCCCAGTAACCAAACGACTCCTCAAAGTACTGGCCTAAGCAAGCATCGAAGAATGAAGGTTAAGATGGTCAGCTCATTTTTTTTTTGAAGAAGAAATCTATACAAGTTTTAAAGAACTAAGTATTACTTTAAATTGAATTGACATATTGTCTCCAATCTGGCGGTTGTTTTATGAAAACTAACTTTACTTTGTCAATCATTTTCCCCCACATGGTATTCAAGAACCACAACACTTCAATGAAAAAGCACATTGTATTAAGTATGCAGTATATGAATTATGAATAGAACCTAGAGAATAGAAAATTCCTAACAACTTCAGCAATCTGCATATGTTGTTTGATCTGCACTAAGGGTGTAGCTTATCGGTCAATAAGGTGAGGGAAGTCACGGACGGAAAGCCAAGGTTCAAATTCTAGTAGATTTTTCAAAAATCACTAGATGATCTCTTCTCAGCCGTCTAAGTCTTGGTAGATAGAGTTAGCCGATATATGTACCGGTAAGAGCCTAAGAGGTAACATGCATTCGATGGAAATTAAGGTGCGTTCAAACTGATCTGGACATCTCTATTAATTTTTTTTAAAAACCATAGTGCTTGATCTTTTACCATCATGTGACTATACTTGAGCCCAATTCAATTAATTTTGTTACATTAGTAAATTTCCTAGAAAATAAGCCATGTCACTTTACCAAAGAGTCTCATAGTCAAAACCAAGAAAAGCAACACTATATAACAGTTTATGGGTATTAACTATATCGTGATATTTCTTTGGCTATAAAAGTATATCATTAAGGATAATGAGAAGTTTAAACTTTAAAGATAATTTTTTTTCTAAATATAGAAATATTTTATTATTTTCTGAACATACTAAAAAAGAAAATAGAGAATTAGAGCCACATAAAATGGAACAAAGAAGTAGTAAGTACTAAGAAGTCAACAATCACATGGCTGCTTGTTTCCATTTCTTATATACTTTCTTCCTTTCATCTAATATATGGCAGTGTTTAACCGGGACAATATTTAAGAAAAATACATGTCAAGACAATTATGAGACTGTAAAAGCATGTCATTAAGGATAAAATGAAAAATTTATAAAAATATATTTTTTTAAATATAGAAACGTTATTCCTTTTTAAAATGGTAAAAAAAAAAAAAGTGTTACCTAAATAGCTCAATTTCTCATTTCATGTCTTATCTTTCTTGAGTTTTGCCCTTTCAAGTTAGTTTAGGGCATCTCTCTCCCATATTATTATGGTAAAATACCCATATAATGTCTTATCAATTAGTTTTGTAAAAATATCTCTAGTGCGGATAGTTTTATTAATATATTGTGCAATGGTTTTGGTTGTTAGTGAGATGATTATGCTTTTCTTATGTAGAATTTGCAGGAACCAACAAGTTACAAACAAAGAAAAGAACTAGGGTCCTTTGCAACTTGTTATTTGTCTAGTCAAAATCATAGAGAGGATAAATCAATTCAATAAATCACATGCTCCTATCTTTTCCAGTAGTAGGTACGCTTAAAAAAGCGTATGCGATTAAATCTTATATATATATATTCGCGAGCAAATTTGTGCACACCTCGACTAGTCAATTGGATACCTCGACGATATGTCACCAAAACATGCACCAGAAAAAAAGTTACTGTACCTGCTAAAGCTTAAGCTAGCTAATGGAAAGAAATCATCTAGTATTATTCGCCTTGAATTTGCGCTCCCAAACGATTCTATTCCAAGAGTGACAAAAACAAAAAATATCAAGAAAACCAGTCTTTGTGGCCTATATTAAGGGAAAATATGTTGACTCACCTGAGCTAGATGTATTTGCTCATTAGATGGAATACTTTTAACATGTTGTCCACTTGAGAATTCAAAAGAATTGAGTATTTTAAAACAGGTATATCAATAATACCAAAAAATAAGTCCAACATCAAATAATTGACTAAAGTAACATCAAATGCAAAAAGAAGCCAAAGTTGTCAACTTTAGATCGTTATAATATGAAAAATATTGAGAAAGCATGGCGGCTAATTGGCGGGGTTCTTAATATATTAGTGCAACTTTATGCATTACAACTTTATCCAAAAAATAAATGATTTGAAGGCAACCAACTTCATTTAGGGAAACATAAAAGGAGAGACATTCTTTTAAATTTAATTTACAATCCTTAAGATTACAATCGAGAAATTCTCTAAGGTTAGTGGTCGCATTGTTCTGAATTTGGTAAATAATGAGCCGATCCTTCTATTTTCGCTTAAATATCAAATTTGTATGTATTCTTCAAATTTGTCACTTATAATTAACCCACACATCACGTGTTACACTCTTATCAGTGTATTAGAACTCACTCATTTACGTCATTATCCTTTCTTCTCCTTTTTTAAAATCTTCCTTTTAACTTTAGTTCTTTTTCTTCTCATAATAATTGTTCTCCACTTTCGACCAAAAAAAATAAAAAATACAATTTGTAACATGAGGGCTTTACTGATTAAATAATTTAAAAGCCACCCAACTTGCCGCATATATCTTGAACATAGCCAGCCGCCAGAGCACTATATATACCACTAGTTCATACAATGCAAAGTATCAACTACACTTTCCCTTAGTACAAAATGCTTTAGCTCAGATTATTTCATAATATCAAGAAAATAGAAATATCCCAACCCATTTACAGCCATGAAAATCTTGAAAATTTTCTTGGTTTTTTCCATACTTGGTTGTTTGTCATGGCCTAGTATTCAGAGTGATTTAACGACTTATATAGTACAAGTTGAATCCCCAGAAAGCCGAATTTCGACTCAATCTTTATCAGATCAGGATCTAGAGAGCTGGTATCGATCTTTTTTACCAAATACCATAGCAAGCACACGCTCAAATGACGAAGAAGAGCCACGTTTAGTGTATTCATATCGCAACGTAATGAAAGGTTTTGCAGCAAGATTATCAGCAGAGCAAGTGAAGGAAATGGAGAAGAAAGAGGGGTTTATATCTGCATGGCCTGAGAGGATATTATCGTTACACACTACGCATACTCCAAGTTTTCTTGGATTGCAACAGAACGAAGGGGTATGGCGACATTCCAATTATGGGAAAGGTGTGATTATTGGTGTCTTGGACACTGGTATTTCTCCTGACCATCCTTCATTTAGCGACGAAGGAATGCCTCCTCCGCCTGCTAAATGGAAAGGCAAATGTGAATTGAACTTCACTACAAAGTGTAACAACAAGCTCATTGGCGCGAGGACTTTCCCACAAGCCAATGGCTCGCCAATAGATGATAATGGACATGGTACACATACTGCTGGCACTGCTGCCGGAGGTTTTGTGAAAGGTGCTAATGTGTTTGGGAATGCTAATGGTACTGCAGTTGGGATTGCTCCACTTGCTCACCTCGCCATTTATAAGGTTTGCGATTCTTTTGGTTGCTCTGATAGTGGCATTTTATCTGCCATGGACGCAGCTATTGATGATGGAGTTGATATCTTATCGCTTTCACTTGGTGGAAGTACTAATCCATTCCATAGTGATCCTATTGCACTTGGTGCGTATAGTGCAACACAAAGAGGTATTCTTGTAAGTTGTTCTGCTGGTAATACCGGTCCATTTGAGGGCACTGTTGTAAATGAAGCCCCGTGGATTCTCACAGTAGGCGCGAGCACTCTTGACAGGAAAATTAAGGCTACTGTTAGGCTTGGAAATAAAGAAGAATTTGAGGGCGAATCAGCTTTTCATCCAAAAGTTTCCAAGACAAAATTCTTCCCTTTATTTAATCCTGGAGAAAATTTAACAGACGACTCTGATAACTCTTTTTGCGGACCAGGGCTAACTGACCTTAGCCGTGCTATAAAAGGTAAAATAGTTTTGTGCGTGGCAGGTGGTGGTTTTAACAGTATTGAAAAAGGACAAGCTGTGAAGAACGCTGGAGGCGTTGGCATGATTCTCATTAATCGGCCTCAGGATGGTTTAACTAAATCAGCCGATGCTCATGTCCTTCCGGCCCTGGATGTTGCTTCTTTTGACGGAAATAACATTATCGATTATATGAAATCAACAAAGAAGCCTGTTGCTAGAATTACATTCCAAGGAACGATAATAGGCGATAAAAATGCTCCAGTGCTTGCTGGTTTTTCTTCTCGTGGACCGAGCACAGCTAGTCCTGGAATCTTGAAACCTGATATTATTGGTCCTGGTGTTAATGTCCTTGCAGCTTGGCCTACTTCTGTCGAAAACAAAACCAACACAAAATCAACATTCAACATTATTTCGGGTACCTCTATGTCTTGTCCTCACCTTAGTGGAATTGCAGCATTGTTAAAAAGCGCGCACCCCACTTGGTCTCCTGCAGCTATTAAATCAGCAATCATGACAACTGCTGACATTGTCAACCTTGGCAATGAATCCCTCCTAGACGAAATGCTCGCTCCTGCTAAAATCTTCGCCTATGGATCAGGACATGTCAATCCATCACGAGCAAATGATCCAGGACTAGTTTACGATACACAATTCAAAGACTACATTCCTTATTTATGTGGTTTGAATTACACAGATCGACAGATGGGAAACATTCTACAACGCATAACAAGTTGCTCGAAAGTGAAAAGTATACCCGAAGCACAACTGAATTACCCTTCATTTTCCATTTCACTTGGAGCAAATCAACAAACATACACAAGAACAGTGACAAACGTCGGGGAGGCAAAATCATCTTATCGCGTAGAGATAGTTTCACCACGAAGTGTTTCCGTGGTTGTTAAGCCTTCAACTCTAAAGTTTACGAAGTTGAATCAGAAGTTGACATACCGAGTGACCTTTTCTGCAACAACAAACATCACAAACATGGAAGTTGTTCATGGATACTTGAAATGGAGTAGTAATAGGCATTTTGTAAGAAGTCCAATTGCTGTTATTCTACAAGAGTCTGAAACACCAGAAGATTAGTGTCTTTCCTTTTTAATAATTTGTTCAATTATAATAAGCCTGTATTAATGGCTTGTATCCAAAATGTAGAATGAGTGCAAAATTTACTCATGTTTTATTCTACTGGTGTTATTTCCTTTCTGGTATGGACTAATATTTCTATTTCAGTCTTTGTTACTTTTTTATTTTTAGAAATGAGTTGGAAAAATTTATTCGAATCATAAAATATATATAACAAACATCGGATGGAAAAAAATTTGCAGAAACTATTAACCAAAGGCCAATCAGAGGATCCACTGCAAGTTGTTATTTGTCATCAACTCATAATCATAGATAAAATAATAAATTGTTATGAAATTAAAGCAATTTAGTAAAACATGAACAAGAAATATTGTTATTAAATAAAATTAATTTAGTAAAACATGAACAAGAAATGTTATTATTAAATAAAATCAATTTAGTAAAACATGAACAAGAAATAGAGATAGAGAGAAGGAAGAGATTTTCGTCTTTTAATTGTGTGTATTTTCCTATCTATTATAAGGCCTTTATATAGGCATGAAAAGTGAAAAATTACTATTACAAAATATGTCATTGAACATGTCATTAAGTATTTGCGAGGAATATTATGGAGGAGGTTATGGAGTTACAATCATAACTCCATAATTATTAGAGTATTGGGAGTTATGGAGATAATGGATAAGAGTAGACATCCACCATAATTTAATTTTCTTATAACACTCCCTCTTGGATGTCCATAGATAATGTGCCTCGTTAAAACCTTATTAGGAAAAAAACCATATGGAAAAAAAATCTCAATGAAGGAAAAAGAGTACACATGTTTAGAAATACGCCTTTTGGTTACCTCGTTAAAGACCTTGCAAGGAAAACGTTGTGGGACAAAAATCTTGTAAGAAAAAAAGAGTATAATACGTATTAACTCCCCCTGATGAGAGCATCAATTCACATCCCTGAGCCTTCGCATCCCAATCTTGTATACTAGTTTCTTGAAGGTTGACGTCGGTAGAGATTTTGTGAACAAATCAGCCATATTATTACTTGAACGAATCTGTTGCACATTGATATCACCATTCTTTTGAAGATTGTGCGAATAATAACTTTGGTGAAATGTGCCTTGTCCTATCTCCTTTTATGAATCCTCCCTTCAATTGGGTTATGCATGTTGCATTGTCTTCATACAAAATTGTGGGTAGTTTGTCACACTTCAAACCACATTTGTCTCGAATAAGATGTATTATAGAACTCAACCATACACATTCTCGACTTGCTTCATGAATAGAAACTATCTCAGCATGATTAGATGAAGTAGCCATGATTGACTGCTTAGTCGATCGCCAAGATATGGCAGTGCCTCCACATGTAAACACATAGCCATAAAATAAGCCCATATCGGTAGTCCCTTTGAGATACCGCAATATGTGTTTGATTTCATTCCAATATTTCCTTGTAAGAGCAGAGCTATATATTGCCAAGACATTAACTAAAAATATTATGTCAGGCTTTGTAGTGTTAGCAAGATACATTAGTGCACCAATTGCACTAAGATATGGTACTTCAGGACCAAGAAGCTCTTCAGTATTTTATGAGGTCGGAATGGATCTTTATTTATATCGAGTGATCTCACAATCATCGGGGTACTCAATGGATGTGCTTTATATCCATATAGAATCGCTTTAAAATCTTGTTAGTGTATACTGATTGATGGACAAAAATTCCATTTGTCATATACTCAATTTGTAGACCAAGACAAAATTTTGTCTTTTCAAGATCTTTCATTTTAAATTCTTTCTTTAAACTATCTACTACTTTAGGAAGCTCACCAGGAGTTCCAATGATATTTATATCATCGACATACACGACGATTATAACAAATTCAGATCCTTTTATAAGGACAAATTGAATCATTCTTATACCATTCTTTCAACAGGTACTCACTCAGGCGATTATACTACATGCGCTCTGATTGTTTCAATTCGTATAATGATTTTTGAATATTTATTTAATAAATTTCTTGGACACCTTAATATGCTTCAATGATTTCCATTATACGCATATCAAGTTTTTCATGTATTGCCAGATTAAATCCTGAAATGACTACATTCACCATAGGAGAATATGTCTCTATATAATAAATACCAGAATATTTACTAATCTTCTTTTGTTACAAGTCATCCTTATATCTATCGACTTGACCTCTTTTGCACAAGAACACATTTATAACTCCACTGGCTTTATACTTTTAGGTGTTGGGACTATCCGTCTAACTTCACATTTTTCAGGTGAAATCAATCTTGATTGCGTATTTTTTTATTTTTTATTATTGGCCAATCATTTATCTATCTACATTCCATGACAGATTTGAGCTCAAGATGCTCGTCCATATTAATAATATTAAGCGCTATATTATATTAACAATATCGTCGACGATCATTTTATATCGGTTCCATTATTACTAAATAAAGACATAACTATCGAGATCTCATTATTTTCAGGTATCTGAGCCTCTCCTATGAGGTCTTATGAAGTGTTATGTCGTGGTGCTCTTCTAAAGCACTTGTCTCCTTAGTATGACCATCTTTATCATTTGCTCCTCTCCCTTTTCAAGGAATTTTATCTTTGGAACCGATTGGTCTGTTACGCTTATTGCGTGCCATAGACTTTATCCCTCATGGACTTTATTCTATTTGGAGCATTAGCAGCTGAAATATGACATTTAGCTTTGGGTCAGCAAATGCGTCTGGCAATAATTTACAAATGAATTACCACTTGAACTTCAAGTTCATATTTTCTTGTACGAAGATCTATATGTATTCATAATAATTCATTCCACGTATCATTTTCTCAGCTGCCTATTTTCTCCCCCTAATGTTGGGATCACCAACACATTTCTCAACCTTCTTTGGGAACCCATCTTTGTGCATTGTGGTGGCATAATTAAATCATATAGTACATCCATATTTCTAGATGGAAATTATTTGGTTCCTGACCCTGAACCGATTGTGAAAGGAAGAAATTTTCATAACTTGGCTAGATGCGTACAAGTGCTGCTGTATATTAAATAATACATCTCATACCAAATTTTATTTTGGGAGTTTTTTTTTCTCATAACCAATGGTTTAGCTATAATTGGAAGCATACAATTTCTGCTAAAATAACTTGGATTTAAACCAGTATTATCAAGATAAATCATCATAATTTATATTCTGGAACTTTGCTCTAATAATTTGAGCAAGTAACCTTGCAAAAGTCAAACTGCAGGTTGAACAAGCGCACATGTGACCATAGAATAGATGCATCTATTAAAATCATATAATAATAAAACGATCCACATGGCGGTGACTGGGCCCATAAATTTATCACCTATTATTCGTTCCAGAAATCAAGTGATTCAATCCCAACCTTAACTGATATATCATGAGAATAAGCAGCACAAGAGTATTCTTGAAGAATCCTCTATTTCTTCAATATATGTCAATGCAATTCTCAATTAATTTTTCGCATCATAATTGAACCGGGATAGCCAACCGGTCATGCCAACTATTATTTATTTCAGTAAACCTCTAGTTTACTTGTGGCATGTGATTGCATCATCATGCTTATACTTGTGTAGTACAAATAAAAGAAAAATCGAGTAACCTTTCATATTTACCCGGTATGATTATAGTAATATAAAGATATTCAATCTTCTTTTCATTTATAGTCTCAATATGCCAACCACTTTGACTAATATATTTGAAACTCAAAATGTTTCTTTTGAGACTTACTACAATATCAATGTCATGAACAATTTCATTCATCCGGGTAGTAACAAATTAGTTCTTCCGGAGCTCTTAATTGATCTTCTACAACAAGATCTTTTGTGATACCATCCATATGATCAATGTCTCATTCACGGAGAAAATCATATTATAATAAATTGTCATGGTCAAAATCATCATAAGCAAAATTATTTCTTGCTTAATTTTTATCTTTAATAACTTTTATAAGGCATGACAAAAAAAATTTGGCGTATCATATGTACGCGACCAATGACATATTCATGTAACCACACAATAATATTTATTCTCTTTATTTCACTCAAACCTCCCTTAGAGGTGAGTTGTGTGGTATTCATCCAATCATGCATTGCATGTATTTATTCATTACTTTTATCACATATTGCCACATCCACCTTTAGGAATGGGTTTGCAATCTCAATGATTATCAAAAGTCACATTCTCTTCAAGGAATGGATCATAATCAGCGGCCTGCTTTATTATTTTTCATACCAATTTGATGGTAAACATTGCCTTTACTTTTTGAAAGATATATTTTGAGAACCATCATTGTTCTCTCATTTTATAATTACCACAATGATGACTATTATTATTTTTCCATTTGTCACACCAATGTTCATTCGTCAACCATTTGTCTTCATCTAGACTTATTATGCACTGCTATCACATTCACTTCAAGAATGGAGCAAATCAAGTGGGACAAGCTTCATGCTTTTTCATGAAAAATATATTATTTTTCTTTAGTCATCATTATATCATCAATATGGTGCATTGGGACTCAAACCCAATGCCTTACCTATATAAAAGCATGTTAGGCCATAATGAGTTGGGACTCTAACTCAACTCTTATCATCATGGTGCACCAGAACTCGAACTCAAGTCTTACTCTCATGGCGCGTTGGGACATGAACCTACCGTCTTACCCTCAATTAATGGCATAATATGCCAAAGTTTACTGGAATTCACCCTTGAGCATTCAAAAATATATGAGGTCGTAATTATATGCAAAAGTAAATTAAGTTTTAATAAGACATAAAATATTACTATTCTTGCTTTTGGTGGTCTGATGCATAACTGAAGCTTTAAAAGCATTATAAAAATTAGTGGCAAAAATTATTTATCCATCATAACTTACATATCGTATAACAATCTAAATTATCTGATTTTGCAAAGTCCTTTAATTGAAAAAATCATTGATAATATTTATGCATGGTTGGCTTTAAAAGTTTACTGGCACCATTTCTAAAAATGAGAATGGGATTGCTTCTAAGTAAAAATGATTGAGCTTAAAAATAATATAATTAGATTTATAATTTATCACATGTCTATGCAAATGTATCATTGTTGCA